TGTAAATACCCATCAATTGCTGGGTGAGAGAAAACTGAGCCACTGAACAATGGGCAATTAATACCACAAAATGGCTGTCAATGGAACATAGGGCAGGTTTCTACCTTACAGTAACTAAATCAGAGATGAATTCCATGGTGGGGAATTCCAATGCAAATCAGCCCATTAAACATTGTTTCTTGAACTCCATGCTGCACTCAACCCACTCTGCACATACATCTCTATGCAACTACTAGCAATGCAAGTTAATTCAGTCGTTTCCAAGCACCCCTCCACACTCACCTAAGCAGCCTCTGGCATCCTCACCACTCCACTAAGTTACCCTAGGACTCCACTAAGTCATGCCACAGATTGGGATCAGTTGCAGGCAATGGAAGTAATTGAGTGGCTTTGTTGAGAAAGTTCTTTTAAAGCTTCAGCAAAACACAGAAAAAGAAAGGCAGAATGGGGGAAAGGGAAATGATTTTTTGCAGAAACATACCTAGAAACTTGATAAATTAACCAAAAGCTGCTGCCAATTTGACAGTGGGTATAAGAAGGGTAGATCTCTAGCTGTGCAGCTGCAGAAAGAGGGTGAGTGACACTAATGAGTGGACTCCACCACTCTTCCATGAGGCCAGAAGAACAGAGGCCCTGGAAGCCAGGGTCCCTATGCTTCCATTCTGGTGCAGATATCAGTTTCCTTGCTTAAGGCATCTGCCCCAATTTTGGAGGGTTTGCTTTTCGGGGAAAGGTGTGATATGTAAGCAAATATGATGCATTATGTCCACCTCGCACCCAAACAACTTTGTTAACCTGGATTCAAGGATGCAAGCACTCACTGATGCCTTGTGCTCCTCTTATATTCAGCCACCAAACCTTGATCCGATTCCTCAGATCCCCAACTTAGTCCAGAGAGTCATAGAGAGTCACAGCACTTTTCCTCTTCCTCAGATTCTCTTAAGCAGTAGAAAATACCAGACCAATGACACTGCTCAGAATACAGTGGGGGCCACCAGACTGCATGAATAGAAGTGCTAATTTTGGATTGTGCTAGGAACACAGAGAATGGCAGGGTGGTTTGGGAGAAAGGTTAAGATAGTAATATATTTCCAGTTCCTACTCCAGTACTCGCAAGGGGGGAGTTAGAAGTGCTATATTCCTTTTGCACTTCCTGCTTTTTTCCAGAGTTTTGAAAATTCAAGTTTTCTGTTCTGGAAGGACCTGTGGAACACAAAACAGCACCAAGACTCTACAGTCTCAACTCCATCTTACAAAGAGAGAGAGACACACACACACACAGCAAAAGTGCACGCACGCACGCACTTCTAATGAAAGTGAGGGGGTGAAAGGTAAAGTAAGCCAACTGCAACACTGCCACGATTAGGTATGCCAACTCTGGTGATTTTGTCAGAAATCGCAATATTTGGTTTTAATAAAGCTGCAACTCCTGGTTTCACATTATTGCAAGACAGCAAAATTTTAAAAGTTTCTAGTTCTAATGGTTACAGAGAAAATGCAAAACCTAACTATATTTTTGAAAGGGGTGGTCCATATCCTGGTACCTGAATGCCAAAGGTTGGCAATACAGGTGCACCAATAGAGATTTTGGGGACTGATACGGATAGCTGATATTCAAGGAGGCATATCAGCTAATACAGATCCGATACAGCTGCCTCCAGGTGGCAAGTCTGTTGTGGTGGAAGGGGAAGGGGGAGGGAAGAGGCGTGGGGGGGCAGATCAACGCCCCTACAGTGAGGGAGGGAGGGGGCAAGGGCAGGCACCTCTGCTCCCAATGCCACTGGTGCCAGCTGCCTGGTGCAGCCTCGGTTCTTCCCAGCCCATGGGTGGAGGTGGGACACAGAACCGGGCCGTGCCTGGCAGCACAGGGCTGTGAGTGGAGCTGCGGTAAAATCTGGCATGGCTGCAGCCTCCTCCCAGCGCCACCGGCGCCCACTCCAAGCTCAGCCCCTGCCAAGAAGAGACCCATGCAACCCCGGCTCCAGCCCACCCGCCCTGCGCCCCCTCCCTCACCATAGGGGCCTTGGTCTGCCCCCCCACCCCCTCCCCTTCCAGCTTACTAGCTGGAGGCAGCTCTCCATGCTGCCAGCTCTACTCCATGCTGTGCTGCGCTGCAGCTGCACACAGCATGGGCATTTATCGGCCAAATTATCGACCCCATCAGGCCGATCCAAAACAGCAAATTTTCTTTATATTGGTACCAATCCAATATTGGACTAATATATCGGTGCATCTCTAGTTGGCGATGCTGTAACTGTAGAAGAAAGGGAATGCTAGGGTTTCCTTGGTATTTTTATAGGCCCTCAAGTGCCAGTGGGGGGACATCCCTGGAGGGAAA